AATCTTGACTGTGAAAATGCTGCAGGTCAGAGTCTCAGCTGGTGGAAATCAGTTCATTGATACCCACTCAGAATCTGGACCTATGTCTTTCTATTTATTTCCTTTTAAATTATCATTATTAGTTTTGTTATTATTATTATTATCATCATCATCATCATCATCTGGTGGTAAGTTACATAGTAACTTAATATAACTTTCATGTTATAGGCTTTCATGTTCACTCCAAAGTACCAAATCCTCTCCCAAAGAGCACACAATCTACAGGGCAGGATATAAGCAGACAAATAACAAATCCATTTGAATATATGCAATACCTAGTAATCAGCTTCAGTATTGACAACACCCTCAAATACAGGAAGAAATGCAAACAAGAACAACTTCACTTATATGTAAATGCCAGAGATAAGGAAATAAAAAAAGCAGCATAAGAAACCTTAAAAAAGAAATAATATAAAATGAAGTAAGTTTTCCTCAGTGTATATTAAAATCTACAAAGAGGTTTACAAAACACTGCAGCTAACTCACAAAAAAATACAGCAAAGAGAAAATTCTGTAGAACTGGACTAAATGGCCACACCTGTATTCTGTACCACTGTGGTTTATTCCACATAATTTAACTAAAACCTCTTAATCTTTGTATGGTTTGGCTTCTATGAGTAATGCTTTCAGGACAAATACAAAACAGACTTGCTCACAGACTAGGAACATTATAACCTAAGCCATAAATATTATTGTTCTTGCTACTGTTCCCTTCAGCACAAACATTCACACTATTAAGCACTATGTGATATATACTCAGGAATGACCCTGAAATTCAGCTGAACACAGCAAGAAATGGAAGAGTATAAGACAAAGTATAAGACAACAAAATAATAGTAATAGAAGGTATGAGATAATGTACATGGGGTTATATCTGTATCTTGAAATTCTTCTTTGATTCTCTTTTTCTAAATAAGGTGCTATACTAAAGCAGAGCAAGAGTTTAATCACTGGGAACAGAAACATAAAATTCTAGCAGTCCTCTCTGTTCGTAGATGTTTCAGTTACTCATTAATCAACAAGTGGTTTTACTTCGCTAGAACTACAGTTCACCGTTAACCTGGGCTTGATATTCTAGTTAACAGAAGCTGCAAATACTAATTACTTCTGAGAGTCTGGATTTTAACATTTTCGTTAGAAAATGTTGTCTTCAGTTTTTCATCCGACAGATTCTGGCTTTCATTTTTCATCCAAGAGGGTTGAACATAACATTTCGTTGTGCCTCTTCTCAGAGAAACAATACAAGGCTTACATTTATGTCCATAGGAATATATGGAAAGGAACTGCCAAAGCCAGCCAGTCTGGTAACTGAATAGAACTTTGTTAATTCAACATTAATGAATATCATGGAGGGCAGATCTTAACAGATCCCAAGTATTTATAGCCCTTGAATTTAATTTGCCAAATTTTCCCAGAACTTCCCTCTCTCCAGATCAGAACATTTCTAATTTCCAGTTTAAATTTATTCATAGACATATTATAGCAATGAATTTTAGACCAAATTTTTGGCAAGCTGATTCAGCTTTTTCTTCACTAGTTATTGTACTTGCACTAACTAGTTTACTGTGAATTAAGGTTTTTCTAGTTTTCAGCGTGATTGCTTTGGTGACTGCAGGGTAATTGCAGTCTTAGACTTTTCTCTCAGTATAGGATTTCATTTTCCAGATTATTCTTCCAGGAGATTATTTAAATACTAAAGTTCTTTATAATCCTTTAGTTTTAAAAGTGCATTTAGTAAAGGACCTGTTATAAGTAGCAATAAAATAAGTAACAAGGTATTTATATGTATTACACAATGATATTTACTCTTAGTGTTCTCCATAGTTAAAGCAAATAAAGAAGCAGAATTATTTAATACCGACAAAATTACTCAAGTGTATTAACTACAAGTAAATAGGAGGATTAGTATTATAACTAAGATTGTAGTTACGTAATACATCAGTTTTATGAAGAAGAACATTCTATTGTCACCATTTCTTGAAACTATAAAACCTGGTCTTATTACATCAGATTATCTGTCTTCATGTAAGGTCAATTTAATGCACGGGAGAAAGTAAATTGCTGTCCGAATTTGGTAATTCGGGTGAAATTTCCCTCACTGAGCTCTTAATGTTGAGCTATTAATGCTTATCTTCAAAATATAACCAGCATATATCTACACTTTGAAATAGAAATGTACATTTTAACTTAAAGTACCCGTTTCCTCATTGCATCACTTGTTCAGATTTCTGATGATAGAAATACAGCTATAACCTGCTTGAGTTTGGCTTTGACGCAGAGTTGAACAGACAGCAGTGTTCCGGTTTTGTCGATTCATTCTTCCACCAGAATCTTTCGTTTCTGCACTTTTGTTGCAGTTTTCACATCCCTGTCATTATGTGTGCCGACCTGACTGTACCCCATCGGCAGACCTAGCCCTTCCACAGGCAGCGTTTCGTGTCCGATTTAGCAGCTGGGGCTGTGCTAGCATTGCTTTTAGCACAACAGGGGACAAGTAGGCTAGAAGCAGCACTAGTTATAGAATGATTTGGTGGGCAATAGCATCCTCACTCATGACCATCATTTTGTTGCACGGGAAGATGAAATCCATGCCGTCCTAGCTAAACTGGCATACAAGGAGATATTTTAAGAAGCAGATTATTAATAGCTTAGAGTCACAAGATGACAGGTTTTGGTTACCCACAGGTTCTATGTGTAATTTAGTCTTGGTAATAGCAAAGACTGAAGTTGAAAAACAGGGCTTAGTGTTTCCAAAGTAAAGTTAACAGATGCAGGTCTCACATTGTTGTACCTGAATCCAGGTAATTCAGATTCATCATTGCTTATCTACATCCTGATTCCTGGTTTTTTGAAGAAGACCCCACGCTTGTAGCACTTCATTGACCAACTAAAAGAGTGTAGATTTTGACTAGATCTAAGGAAGAAATGTTTCACAATGAGGGTGGTGAAACCCTGGCACGGGTTGCCCAGAGAGGTGGTAGGTGCCCCATCCCTGGCAACATTCCAGGTCAGGTTGGACGGGTCTTTGAGCAACCTGATCGAGTTGAAGATGTCCCTACTCATTGCAGAGGAGTTGGACTAGATGACCTTTAAAGGTCCCTTCCAACCCAAACCATTCTATGATTCTATTATGAGAGACAAGAGGTACAGCAATCATTTTGCATGACTGCTTTCAGATAGTCACCAGGAAGTGTGGTCTCACCCATAGTTTGACCAGAATAAAAATAAAACTAAAATGAATTGCATTTTGAAGGAAGAACACTAACAATTCTCTCTTTTTTTTTTTTCCCCCCACAGAAACATGTGTAATGACAGCCATAAGGAGGTATCCAGTAGTCTGATGCTGAAGAGCTGAAGAAAATAAATCTGAGAAGGAAAAATTAAAACTGTTAGTGAACTCATTTCAAAATATATTTAAGTACCTACTCTGCCTTTAAGTTTTTACAAAAGGCAAGAGACAAGTTCGTTTTGAAATGCTGGGGGTCCTGTCTTGCAATACCCTGTGCCAGCCTGTATTTATTTCACTCCAGCTAGGCAATGAGTCCCAAGTTCTCCACTCCATCCTGTAGTACCTGCTTTGGTCAATATTGATACTGGCTTTCAAAATCAGAGTCAGCTTTAAAGCTCTCGTCTTGCAGCTCTTACATAGTTACATTGACTTTAAGAAGTTCCGTATCTAGCGTCCACTGCTTGGTACATTGGATGAATAGGGTGTATTTTTCAACATAGGCTTTAGTAAGTCTGCAAAGTGATCAAATGCCTGCATACTCTTCTAAAATGCTTTGTTCTCAGGATGAACATCCTCTTTCTGAGGGCTGACTGAAAGGTTTTCCAGGTTGCATCTGCAGCTGTGCAGATGCCTTTAGATCTCAGAAGCTGGACTGCACTCAAACAGTGAACTGATGAACAAAGGCCGTTTTATCCACAGTACAAGGAACACAAAACTGCTTAGTTTCTTCTTTGCATTTTTATCTTTTCAAAGTAAAGAGATAAAGGAAATAACAGAGCCAGGACTGGGATGGCCAGCTCCAACTACAAATAAATCCGTGCTCTTGTTTTAAGGGTCCTGAGCTGCACCAAGGCTTAGAAATGCTTGATAAACAGAAACTAGAGACTGAGGATGATGTGCATCCTTCTGATGCTTGAAGGAAAAAAATAGAGAAGAACCTGTAAGTGTTTTCCAGATATTCTGGGCTGATACTTGTTGATGTATCCTTCAGTGGAGTGGTACCAAGCTAGAGCAGTACGGCACCTTGCCCTACTGTGCAGTTAAAACTTGGAAGAAGGAAGACTTGTTTTGCCCATTACTGAAAAACATGTTTTGACTGTGCTGAGGCACAGCAGTTGTTTAACAGCTTACACTCTTTAGCAACTGTTGCCAAACAATAAAAAAATATTTCATCCAAATAAAATCAGAGGAGCTTTAGACAGCAAAGTGGAGTAATTCACAGTAGAAACTGGCAAGGGTCCCACAGATAAACCTTTTAATGAAAAGTCCAGGAAACCTTTCTGGCATGCTTGAACACTGTTACATAATAGGACTTACCCCAAAATATAAGGAATTCTTTCTAAAATTAAGTATCTACTCACCAATTTTTTTTTTCCAATTATTTCCCCAGGGAAGAAAAATAAAGCATACACATTTGTATGTCCTGATTTAAACGACAGTTTGTTATAATCAGTATACACGTAGGTTCTGATTTTCCAGATTTAGTTAAGCTGTAGGACTACTTGATTGAACAGGTAACCTCTCACTTGCAATGAGCATAGAAGAGGTATTCTTCGTCTACCAGTAATTGAAAAGCTCTCGGAGTGTATTTGTTTTCCTCTGGTGAAGAACTGCTTTGTTTATGACTCAGGGCTAAACTATTCAGGAAGTCAGAAAGCAGTATTTTGGAGCATGCATTGGTCCTAACCTTTGGTTATTTGGAATAAAGACATAGTGACAAAGAGTGATATACCATCCTTGAGCATCCAAGGTGTTGCGCTAAGACCCTTGCGTGCTCTGAACATGAGACTGTCATTGCAATAGGGCTCTCCAAGTTGTGCCTGCTTGCCTCTAACTGCCACTATACTCAATTCAAACACTAGGAGGTCTGCCAGGTTGTCTCGGTGCCCTTGGGATACACTGAACTCCCGAACCCTGATGCAGTTTCAGAAACAAATATCCTTGTTGAGCTTCACTTTCGCCACATAAAAATTCAGATAAGCCCAAATGGTTTTAGTCTTAGCAGCATTTTAGACATATTTTACACACTCAGAAGAATTTTCTGCTGTGTAAAAAGTGGAAGAATGATAACTCATAAATCCAGCACATAGACACATGCTTGCAGCATGGAGGCCTGTGTACGAGCTTGCTCTGAAGATAGATTCATTCATGAATCTAAATATGTAAGTCTTTTTCCCCAGAAGGATTTAGAAGCTACAGCTCTGTGCAAAACTTTGAAATAAAACAATCTGAAACAGCAACATGAGCACCTTAAATCAGCTCATCAGAGTGATTTAATACTTCTTTCTATGACCTTTACCAGAACAAGATAAGTCAAAAGCAAAGCTGCGTCCTGAACCTAATGGTGCATTGGGTTAGTGGAGCCAAGTCGTATCAATTCTGTAGTCCCTGGAAGATGGTGATGTGGTTAGCATCAGAGTTAGCTGTTTTTTGCGGGGGGGGGGCGGGAGGTGGGTTTCATGGCCTGGGAATGGACTTCAGTGCAAGACTTGAAAGCATGTCTCTGGATTCATAATGTTATTATCTTTGCTCTGCCTCTGCATCTTCATGTTATGGCATGTTGGTTTATGGTTATGGTTTATCTTCCTTTTCTGCTAACAAACAGGAGTTACAACATTTATTCCACATTATGAAAAGGCAATTTTTCAAAATAAACGGAAAGTTTCTATGAATACAGATCAGTAACAGGAAAAGCCAAATCCTCCATCAATAATTTCAGATCATGTCTTCTATCTTTTGACATGGAAACAACAGAAGGAATGTCTCCTTCCCCTTCTTAATATAAAATTTCTATTTTCCTCTATCCATCACATGACACTGGATCCACTTACCAAAACTTAGTTGTTTTGAAAGATGTGTCAAGACTGAAGAAAGATGACACAGCAGCATCTTGGGACAAAAGAACTGTGAAATTTGAATGCAAAATCCTGTAACTGATTGAACATTACATTCTGTCCCTGTATGTCCACATACTGCTCTTATTAGCATCAATAAGAGCCATGGATATACATCCGAGGATGGATTTTGGTCCTCAGATGTAACTTACTTAGGAAAATATTGTGTGTTGAATATAAAGAAAGTCTGTACTTACAAACTAAAATTAGCAGCAACAAAGTGGCAGACAATCCTCCCAGAAAATATCTGAGAACATAACAATACCCATAAACGTTAGAAAAAACCCAAGGGATGCATAGTGGGTTAATAGGGGTGAAGCCTGAGTGGGAGGAGGAGAGAAGGTTCTGGTGGATGAACCATTGGAACTCTGGTAGGTGAACTGCAATTTGAAACTTTAAATTTACTTAAACTGTTGAGGATAATCTCCTGGAAAGAAAGACCTCAGCATTCCCAGACTGAGAGAAACACCCATATTCGTGACTTAGAAAGACATGGATCCTTTCTTATTCTTCTCAGCCCTTCAAAACCCCTGTCGAAATACACTTGATAAAGTACTTTTCATATCTTATCATATCACTGCGTACATATTTCTTATTTTTGTGCATATCCATACAGCTCAGGTATTTGTCTGCATCAACTATCATGTGAAAATGTATTTTCACACCAAGATATATGGAACTTTGAAAATATGACTCTTAATTTGTGTTTTATTCACCATTTGAAATAGAGTAAGCATTAATATCAGAAACAACAAATAAGAGAAATAAAAATTACCTTGTACATATCGAAATGAGTAAACACATGATCACTGCAACCATCTGAGAAAAGACATTTCGCACTGTCCTGGACTCTAAAACAAAAGTCAGGAAAATAATTGTCATGAGTTTTCAGGAAAGTAAATATATGACAGGAGGTGTTTGCAAAGACTACCGTCAGCCTGTGAGGCCAGTCTCTTCAGTTGCTTTTTAAGAGAACTCGCCTAGAGTGATTCAAAGCAGAAACCTAATTTTCATGCTCTGGGTGTCTCTCAGGAGTCTTTTTCCCCCACGACCATAGAGACACTGTGCCCTGCATGCTCGCAGAAAACAAGCCTTTCTGAATAATTGGCCGTTTCAGTTTTTGTTCCCATGCCCTTTCCTCCATTTCCTCAACTACACTTTTTTCTTTTTCCATTTATCACTGGAAATAAGAGAGGAAAAGATGTGAGCAGGGAGGAGTAAACAAGTAAATACCAATTTTAAGATTTTGTTGTTTTTAATCAGTCATTTAAAATGTATGTTTTAGGAAATAGATTCTATTCTGCAAGGAGCCATATCAATATTTTTAATGTATTTTCTGTTCACTCTAAAAATAAGGCATATCAGAATAAGAATGTAACATACCTGCATTGCTCAAAGTCTCATTTGCATTTATCATAAATGGAGAGTAGGATTTTGAAGCACAAAATGGTTTCTCAGGCTGAAGAAACTCGTCATCTTTGGTGAGAGAGGCTCCATTAGATGCTGGAGTTTGCCTTTGTGGGACATGGCTATTATACTCAGAAGCAAAGTCTGAATCACCTACAAGAAGCACATGTAACTGAGATTGCACAAAAGAAGGGCTTTCAGACTTTGTGTTAATGAATTTGGCGGGGGGGGGGAATTAATTACTTAAATACAGGGAGGTTTCCAAATTGTTAGGGGTAGGGAATTGGCAGGTTCAATGTATGCAAGAGAAAATATGCAGAGTAAAGACAAAACTGCATAGAGGGTAACACAGTGAAGTTATTAAAACAGCCAGGTGCAAGCAGACAGTGCCAGATATTAATGACACCAGCACAAACATCACTAGTGATGACTCTGGATTCAAACTCAGTCTAAAAATGGCTCTTGGGCACAAAGGTCTTTGTGAGTCTGTGAGTGGACTCATGCTCTGTTTTAATGCCAGGACCTCAATTCACCACTTAAAATTCTGTTGTTCATCTACTCTTTATCTGCAGCTCTTGGCAGACAACCCTCGCAAAATCTACAGAAACAGATAGCCAAGTCCCACTAAATATAGACCGTAATGTTGTAGCTCGATTACCTGGTACGCAGTCAGGGCTTACCAGTATCGCTCTGACTGGTGTCTAGTTCATTGCATCCATCAGGCCAAGGCTCGTCTACATGGGAGGAATCCATATCACTGAGGATGGAGCTGCTGAGCCATGAACTGGAGGTGCTGAGATTGAACAAGCTGGCAAGAGAGCGACGGATTTTCTTCCTTCGCCTGAATACGCTAGAAAGAAAAGACACACTGTCAAGGAATAGTGTTAATTATTCTTCTTGAGCAGGGACAGAGATCTAAAGCTTGCAGGACTGACATGAAAGAACCAGGTTCTGGCTGCTGTTCCTAGCTCTGTTGTTGACCTTGGGTGTGTCAGCACAAATGATTGCAGCACTCAAAGAATGTATTAGCAGCATGGCAATATATCATGCTGTTGCGATACTGGATATTGTGATATCAAATGATACTACAGTTGTTAGGTTCTGATACTATTCTGAGCGTCTCATGCTACCCAAGAGTTTCACCCTACCATAATCCCATTTGGTGCAGCCTGAATCCACTGTACTTCACCCTTTTTGAACGACATTTTACATACCTTCCTAAACTGATGTTCTTCTGAAATCAAGAGAGATTTTTCCCTGAGTAAGAATTCCAGGATGTTAACCACAACACAGGACCAGACATTTTTATTTTTATATATATACAAGCATATATACACACACACATTTTTCTTATTCCTTATCATGGTAACACCCCATTGGCAAAACGAGCTGTAGCTCTCCTTTTTCTGTATCGCACACAACCCCAATTACAGCAACAACTGTGTACTGAAGAGTTTTGGGGTTGTAAGATTAGACATGACTGGAAATCAAGTTATTTCAATCACTGCACTCTGTAAATTAAATCAGTTGAGATGTTCCCATTAAGAAGCAATGCTGACCTTATGCCAAGCAAAATGTAGACAGGCACACAGATACCTCCACATGAGTCCAGAGATGTGGAGGCAATAGCCAACATTGAGTAAAATCTGCATATAATTCACTTACCGAACTAAATTCTCTTTATATGTAACACTTGTCTGGGATGGTGTCAGTGTTATGTTGCCTTCTTCATCAGACAGAAAACTATCTTCTGTCAAAATGTAATAACCATTAGAAAGCAGTCGAGGGCTGCGGCGACATGTGGAAAGGAAGCCTGTCCGAGGATTTGTGGAGCAACACTCATAGGCAGGGTCATCATCCAAAAAGGCACAAGTGTAACTGAAGGGGAGAATCGAAACCCTCTAATTTAGTGAATGTCTAGACAGTGTAAATCCATGATTTAATAATAATAAATTTACATTACCAGCTGATGATGACTCGTAATGACATAGATTTAAAATATGTGGGAAATAATATTACTTCTGGACGTAGGAGGTCTCAGGCAGCTAGAGTGTGCCTCCATCACACTTTCCAGAGCTTCAGATTACAGGAGGGCTTCATACCAGGTGAAGCATTTCATGAACTCATGGAGCTAGCTTGAATTGAGAAGTGCATGGTGTATTTCTGTGGCAGTGCTCTTGGCCAAGGAGTCCTGCCAGATCTACACCTACATGGAGCTGTTACAGATGTTCCAGTATTTTGCTTCGCTGCGTCACTCTGCATGGCAGAAGCCTGCTTGCTTCTGAATCAGTCAGCATATATTTGCTTTCCATAACCTAGTCATACTTAATGAAGAGTTAAGGGTACATGACTGAATTCTCACAAACCACAGAATACCATGCAGCTGTAACAACATAGGATAAAGTCTACACATAGTGGTAACTTCATCCAGCACTGAAATGCAATTGACATTGAGATAAAATACAGCGCAGAAAAATATACTATGTGGTATTTAAAATAGAAGTGAGTAGTGACAGAGGTGAAAGAATCTAAATGTTGTAGACATCCTACTTAGCTCAAATAAAATTGGATTTATGCTGAGTCCTTTCTCCTCAACACCTCTGAGTTCCAAGTGGCCATGCAGTGACATCCATAGAAAGAAAGGACGACACTGGGTTGATTGAGTGGCTGACATGGGTTTCAGTAGCAGGTTTAACTATCCCATATGGCATGTCACAGAGGGATACCATAATTTCAGTGGAGAGGAAAACAAGTAGAACAGAGGTAGTCCAAAACCTTGTAATTGTAAAGCCAGTGCCTCCAATCTCCATTAGCAGTTCTTATGAACTTCCATTTAAAGCAGTAATTAAATTAATATCAGCACCATAATTCTAACTGGCACAAAAGGGATTTTACAAAATCTCAAAAAAAAAAAAACAAACCTAAACAAGTATAATTTTCCTCAATACCTTGGAAAAATCTGTTGTGAGAGGCTGCGTCTATATTCTCCATTAAATGCTGTTGAACCTGCAGAAGCAATGACCAAATAAGAAGGAGTCATTATCATATCTACTGACAGCTCAAAGAGTTGACAGGCCTTCACTGACAAGTACCTTGTGCATATCCGAAAGATCATAAAGAAGCTAAAAAAGAAAAGGAAACTAAGGGAGAGATTAGAGATAAAACAGATGAGAATGGAGGAAAGACAGAGAAAATGGAAGAATAGACATTATGGACACAAATGCAATAGCTGCAGCAATTTTAATGGTGTTTTCCCAAAAATCTGCTTCATGCCAAAACAGTACATGTACTGGCAATAGATACAGAATAGAATGGAATGGCCACCGTTACCATTACAATATATTTTTCAGATGAAAACTACAGACATAGCACAACAGGCATAGGGATAGCAACAGTGACAAAGATTTGACAATAACACTGTGGCAGGAGACTAAGGAAATAGGATTTGTCTGGACAACCATGGCCCAAGTCTACAAAGTGCTGCCAGATGTTCAGCATCTGACAGAATCAATCTTACAAAATATGAGCAATGGCTATCCATGGGCAGAATTTATATCTGTTAGTACATGGACAGATAAAAGATATGATCTTTCCCCATATTACCTTACCTCTCCTGTATCTTTAGAGCATCATGCTTACAAGACTGTTAGTAAATGTCCATCAATCACCTATCAGGGGAGATAGGTCTAAGAGAATTTTTTTTTATGTTCAATTATAAGTTGAGGCAAAGAAAAGACATGAAGTTCAGTATTTTTACTTTGGTAATCTCATTCATCCTCATTTGGAGCTCAGTTGCCAGTCACAGCCCGGATGTGAAGGCTGACTGAGTCTTGGGACCAGGCAGGGTCACCAAAGAATGGAAGTAAAACCTTCCAGGGTATTTTTCACAAATCAATCGTATTACCCTACTGCCATACATACTGTTTCTTCTCCCCTTTGAAAAAAAAACCCTCAATATTTCACTTTACCATGAGAAAATTATCCTCTAATTCTGGCAAAAACAACTTGAGGAGGAGGCAACTGGAAGAAACTTGGTAGAAGTACACAAGTCAAGTAACATTGGTCAGATTGCTACACAGTAAGTGCAAGTTGTATCAAAAGTGAGACTGGTGGTGTATTTCATAGACTGACATGTTGTAGACGTATTTTTTACATATACAGTTAGCTTCTACAAGGATTTCTCTTATTTTAGGCAGAATCATGATTTTTAATTGTGCAAAAATATTATAGTCAAAATCAAGAAATTAATCCTAACTCTAAAAGACAATACAAGAACTCGACAGGTGATTTGTAGATCTGGATATGAACTAAACCTGCAAAATCCCAAATCTTACCAGTCAAACAAAATCATGTCCACAACAGATTTTTTTTAGCAAAAGCTCTGATGAATGTGCACAAATTTACTTGCTCCTGGTGTTGATGCAACATGTGATATTCCATACATCTTGAAAAGGACTGTTTCAATCACCCTGGGATAACAGGTAATATAGATTATCTGTAAAAGGGTTTAAAAAAACCCAGATGTTTTATTTTGTATTACTTGAATATTAGGATGTGTAAGGCTGGATCATCATATATATCATATTATCAGTTATAATATATTCTTGATTAGACAAAAGTGATTGATTGTAGAGCATATTCATTTGAAAAGCAACGTAGAAGTACACCTCAGCATCAATTATCATAGAATTATACAATGGTTTGGGTTGAAAGGGAGCTTTAAAAGTCATCTAGCCCAACCCCCCTGCAATGAGCAGGGACATCTTCAACTCGATCAGGTTGCTCACAGCCCCGTCCAACCTGACCTGGAATGTTGCCAGGGATGGGGCATCTACCACCTCTCTGGGCAACATTTTCCATCCTTAGATCTAGTCAAAATCTGCCCTTTTCTAGTTTA